CAGTTATCGACTCATGCGCACTTCAGCATGCACTGACCCCGCTCTATCATTTTATGTGGCCTACCATTTTGTGGCTGAGTTGCTGTTGTTCCCAGTTGCTTCCACTTTGTTATAATACCACTAACAGGTTACCGTGGAATATTTAGTAGCAAGGAAATTTCAGGAATGGACTTATTGCACAGGTGGCAACCTATCACGCTACCACGCTTGGCTTCACTGAGCTCCTGAGAGCGACCCATTGTTGGTAGAAGCAGTCTGCATGCCGAGATGCTTGGTTTTATACACCTGTGGCCATGGAGGTGGTTGGAACACCTGAATCCGATGATTTGGAGGGGTGTCCCAAAACCTGCCACGTGGCACCCTCTGCTTGCCCGTTGCCATATTGTCTGAGAAAGCAGATCTCTGTAAAATGTGTTGAGAAAGTGGCCCTGCCCCATCGGGTGATACAACTGACAGTCAAGAAAATGTTTGAGGAACCCATGTTTGTAAACCTGGAAATGTGTATTATTGGGACATACAGTGTACATAATGGGGATGTACGGGTGGTACTTGAAGACAGTTCTGCATATGCCATTGAGAATATTTCTAAATTGTGTAAATCAAGCTTTTCATTTGTAGTAATAGAAATGTTCAATTTTACATTTTGGTTTATGTAATCTCTTTGCACCTCAGAAGTCCCATGTATAATGGATATTTGGGTTGGGACAAGGCAGTGTAAAGGGCTATGTAGTCCCCCATTCTCCCAGTAGCAGAAATATTCAGCACTCGTGCAACCTGAGCATTGGTGTTTCTACCCACAAGCAACCACGATGACCTTTTCCAACTGCCAAATCACGCCGGCACATCGAGATGTCATCACAGGAATATCACCACCTTTCCATTAAGGAATCTATGTACGTCGGCAACCTAATGGTCATTGGCGATATTTGTGAGTAGGCAGCTATTGGATATAAATATCCAGTTCTGACCACAGAAATAATTGTACGTACACCATGTGGTCTATTTATAACAGATGGGTGAATGTAGGCATATTTGTTGGATGGGATGCAAATTACGGAACTGAGTGAATTCTCTGCTGATATGCTATGAGTGTACTTGGGTAGAGTGGATCTTCAAAGGTGATAGCTGAAAATTGTTGGGTTCACCGTGCGGCAAAAGTTAGCCGGTGAATCATGTAACGTTTGCTACTATAAAGAAGGAACATGTTATTGAAAGCATTTACCATAAAAGAAAGACCAAATGAGGAATCTTTTTGGAACAGGTCAATGTGTTGGGTAGTTGTTGGGTTTCTTGTAAAGCCACAAAATTGTTCGGTGGTTAATGTGTGGTGATTCTTGGAGGAATGTGGGATGGGACCTTTCATAAATAGATATCTAAAGTCATGATCAACTCTTCATGGGGGTTTCCACACCAAAGTGGGAAACTCCTCTTTTCTAGGTGTTTTCACCCAGTATGAAAAGGATATGTGTCACTCCTACGTGAGGGTTTGTAGAATGTTTTTTTGGTATGTTTCACACAACATTCATTTTTGAGGCAAGGCCTATGCCGAGTGGTGTGGAAAACCCATCCAGAGGCCATTGCTGCCTGGCTGTGGCCTGTGTATGTCCTGGTGTAGCTCCAGCCTTATACAACAAATATTGGTGTGCCTCTGCAGGGCAAGGAAAGGGAGGTACTAAGGGTCTACACAAGGTACAGCAAGACATTGACCTCAAACCCATCCTGAGGCCATTGCTGATTGGCTGTGACCTATGTCCAGCATGGCATAGCTCCTACCTTATACAACGAACATTCGTGTGCCCCTGCAGGGTAGGGGAAGGGCAGGAATTGAGGGGTTTACACAAGGTTCACCAAGGCATTGACCTCAAACCCATCCTGAGGCCTTTGTTGATTGGATGTGGCCTATGTCTAGCATGGCATAGCTCCATCTATATACAACAAACATTCATGTGCCTGTGTAGGGCAAGGAAAGGGCAGGAACTTGAAGGGTCTACACAAGGTAGAGCAAGGAAGTGACCTCAAACTCATTCTGAGGCGTTTGCTGATTGGCTGTAGCCTGTGTCTAGCATGGCTTAGCTCCAGTCTTATACAAGAAACATTCATATGCCTGTGTAGGGCAAAGAAAGGGAGGAACTGACGGGTCCACACAAGACACAGCAAGACATTGACCTCCAACCCATCCTGAGGCCATTGCTGATTGATTGTGACCTGTGTCCAGCATGGTGTAGCTCTAACCTTATACAACAAACATTCATGTACCTGTGCAGGGCAAGGAAAGGGCAGGAACTGAAGGGTCTACACAAGGTATAGCAAAGCATAAATCCCAAACCCATCCTGAGGCATTTGCTGATTGCCTGTGGCCTGTGTCCACCATTGGCAAAACAGACCAAACATTAGTCTCTTTGAGGGTCTGGGATCTGTTCAGAGAGCTTCTTCTTCCACAATGGAATACTCGGGTTTGAACTGTATTTTTCCTTTAGATGAACCATTTCATACAACGCTAGAAGAATGTAGTTCCTGTTTGTGTATCCTGATGTGAGGATTGTTCATTAACCCACTGGCCCAGCCACCCACAGCCACACCCACAGAGAGCCACAGTGTCTATGCATATTGTTAAATAGACATGTAAGCTGCGGAAAAATTTGGTTTGGTTCGGATATTTTGTTATGTTGGAATTTGGGAATCGGATCCGAAATTCAATTCGGTTCGGGTTTTGGATTCTGAGAAATCCGAATTTCGTTAGTTTACAAATATTCGTTGCGAATACCATAGAAAACCATATGCAGATATTAATACTAAAGCTGAAACTCCTAGACCCGAATGGCATTAGGGATCCGAATTTCCGAATTGCATTCGGGAGCTTCTGGGAGTCTAGGAGCCTCGGCTTTAGTAATATCTGTATATGGCTCCCAGACCCAAATGGCATTCAGGAGCTCCCCAATTCAATTAGGTAATTCAGATTCCGAATATCATTCGGGTCTGGGAGCCATATACATGTATTACTAAAGCTGAGGCTCCCAGACCCGAATGGCATTCGGGAGCTCCCTAATGCAATTCAGAAATTCGGATCCCGAATGCCGTTCGGGTTTGGGAGCCTCAGCTTTAGTATTATATGTATATACTGTACACCGAATTTTCGTTACGGCATGTGACTTTTCTGGCCAATCAGAAGGCTCCCATGTTGCTGTAACGAAAATTTTGGAGTCAGACCCATTCGGATGCATTAAACCGAAAAACACATCTGATTGTCCAGAAAAGTCACATGTCCAATTCAGTTTAGTTTTTGAATGAAATTCGGACGGGATCCAAAATTCGGAAAGGGAAATTCAGATTCGGACACATTCGGATGCATTATGATTTGGAAATTTGGATGTGCCAGAATTTCGGAAAATTTGTCCGAATTTTGATTTGGAACGAATTGCACACGTCTATTATTAAAGCTATACTTCAGTAAAACCTGAAAAGGTCACATTGAAGGGACACAGTTGACCTGTCTTGGGTATCTAGGTTTGCGATACTTGACTTCCCCAGGCCAACCCGCCATGTGACATCCTCTGGTGGCCATTGACTTGGTGTTCTGGTAATACTTCCAGTATATATCTGTAGCCCAAATATTTTTGTTAGCTTCGGATGGATTGTGGAAGAGTTATAACGTGTCCTGGTTTGATTGCTGTGTGTCCATGCCGTGGAGATTCCTGTTCTTCATTTGTCCTGGTGACCATTGTCACCAGAACACAAAGTGAAGGGAAATCCAGAATTTGACCGTTGTGTACCAGAACAGAAGGTGTCTTGCCAGTGACACAAGGACAGGGAGGTTTGTCTGCCTGTCTGTGACTACCTTAAAGGACATCTAGACCAGAGGAGTTTGAAGGTTGTCAACCTTGGGACAAAACTGTTATATATTGCAGGTTACCCATCTTTAGATATGGTGGCTGCTTTCGTTTTCTTTTATCCAGGGTTTGTTTCTTTGGTTATCCAAACCAGTAACGCCCTTCCTGTCCATGAGTTACAATGGGGCTGGACGAATCCCAAGAGCCAGGAAGCCAATACACCAGAAAAATCACAGCTGGCTCCTAACTTGTGAAGTTTTCTTTTGAGTTGTTGTCAATGGGGCTGGCTCCTAAAAAAGGTTTGGGATTGGACAAATTGGCTCCTGCATTCCCCATTTATTTGTCCACCCCGGAGTTACAATGGTCACTGTACTGTGTCTACGGTGGAGCATTGTCACCACTGTGGCCAGGCCCCTTGCCTTCTGCCACTTGGGGGGAGCCTGGAAAGGAAGAAGAGGGCCTGGCCTTGGTAACCGCTGGGGCACCAACATTGCCATCTGGGACTACATCTAGTCAATGGAGCTGGTTCCTAATTATTTTTGGATTGGACAGACTGGCTCCTGCGTTCCCCATTCATTTGTCCACCCCTGAGTTACAATGCCCACTGTACTGTGTCTACGGTGGAGCATTGTCACCACTGTGGCCAGGCCCCTTGCCTTCTGCCACTTGGGGGGAGCCTGGAAAGGAAGAAAGGGCCTGGCCTTGGTAACCGCTGAGGCACCAACATTGCTTCCTGGAGCTACAGCTAGTCAATGGAGCTGGTTCCTAGAAATATTTTGGGATTGGACAGACTGGCTCCTGGGTTCCCCATTCATTTGTCCACCCGAGTTACAATGCTGTATTGTATCTACGGTGGAGCATTGTCACCACTGTGGCCAGGCCCCGGCCTTCTGCCACTTTGGGGGAGCCTGGAAAGAAGGAACAGGCACAAACATTGCCTCCTGGCAGTGGCGTCACAAGGGAGGTGCGGAGGGTGCGGACCGCACCTTGGTGACACCATTGGAGGGGTGACACCAAAATGACTGTCAGTGATGGACCAAGAGCCCGACAGTTTCGGGAGAGAGGAGGGGACCCGGCGGCATACCTTATCCCACCGGGTGACTGTCCCCTCCTCTCACTTCCGGTGTCCATCCCCAAGATGTCCACCGGCAGGTATCAATAAGATTGCCGCGCATGTGCGATGACGTCGCGGCAGGGCGTCGCCCAATAACCCCTCCGGCTGACACCCGGCCTCGGGACGCCCCTGCCTCCCGGGACTACAGTTCCCAGCATACGGCAGGCCCGTGACGGTGGTGGTGAAGGCAATTCATGGTTTCTTGCACCGGGGGCCCTGAGGTTTCTAGTTACGCCTCTGATTGTCACCCTAGGACAGGACTACAGGACACTTCCCCTTCTCTACTACATAGAGCTGATGTGTTCTGTAGTTCATACAGATAGCTGAGAACAATGTAACTGATACAAGTATAGCACAGGCTCTGGCCTCATTCACACTGGCGGTGAATCAATCACTGCCATTTAAAATGCAGACACCCGGAAGATTCACCGGCAAGGGTGAATATATAAATATGCGGCCGGTGTGAATGCGGCCTAGCTGCGAGCGAGCCGGATACTTATAAATATTTGTTTTGCAATCAGTCAGCGAGAAACGTTTGTAAAGGCCGCTGTTAGCACTGAGCTTGTTATCTAAATAGAGAAAGCGCTGAGCAAATGTTTACACGTCGCCCATAAATCATACGCGCGATTATTCTACAGCGCACCGGACTTGACCTCGCTTACTCCGACCGCCACACAAAGAGACTACAGGGACACAGGAGGCTTCACCACGGCCATATACATGAAGACCGGGGGAATCACTTGATTCACCCATCTATGCTAAAGAACATGGATGGAGGAATGTCCTCCATGCTGGCTATTGTATTCTCACAGCTGGTACCTGCGGCTGTCAGAATAACTAGCTGGCTGCTGATTGGCTGCAGTCACTGTTCAGCTCCGCCCAGCATCTGAAGTATGTCAAGCCCAGTGGTGTTGGCATGGCCACCCATGGCTCAAATTCTGGCCAGCTTTACAGCACAGCGTACAGGCTGGAGTAAGCGATGTAGACTGAACTGCGTCGCTGTGTACACTGTGCTGTACGTGACATAGCGCAGGCTTTCCCAATCTGCGCGCTGTGTGGTAGTGGTACTTTGACCACTGAGCCACGGCACTGCCCCAAAATGACAGTTGTTTATGATATATGGTGCATTAGCAATTTGAATGCAAATCAGCTTTCACATGCATAGCAACGAAGAGCATACAGATAGTGTCCTGACCAGGATTCAAACCAGGGACCCCAATGCTGCAAGGTAGAAGTCATAACCACTGAGCCACCCAAAATGACCGTTGTTTATGATACATGGCGCTGTAAATGCTAATCAATTAGTCTTTACAGCTTTCACACGTATTGCTAAAAGAAAGCCAAACAACATGCAGATGGTGTCCTGAACGGGATTTGAACCAGGGATACCAATGTTGCAAGGATGAAGTGCTAACCACTGAGCCACCCAAAAATGACACTTGTGTATGATACGTGGTGCATTAGCCATCTACATGCCATTTAGGCATTAAAGCTTTCATACGTATAGCTACAAAGGCCATGCAGATAGTGTCCTGACTAGGATTCAAACCAGGGACCCCAATGCTGCAAGGCAGACGTAGTAACCACTGAGCCACCCAAAAATTACAGTTGTGTGTATGATACGTGGGGCATTAGCAACCTAAATGGCAATCAGTTCGGACTTACAGCTTTCACACATATAGCTAATAAAACCCGAACTTCTGTGTCTATACAGGAACCCGGCGCTCTCTCTGCAATTTTCCACAGGCACTTTAATCCCCCCCCCGTTGCCTCACTTGACTTCTAATAGGCAAGGATGGAATTGGCTCACTATCACTGCACAGAGCCAGGGAGAGATAAGAAGCACTTGGCCTCCAGGGAGCTGCATCCTTAGCTGACATTTGCCAGCCTCTGTCATAACCCAACTCACCCTACATACAACGAGAGTCTCACTCCGTCACCCCGCATACCCCCAGAGTCTCCCACCGTCACCCTGCATACCCCGAGAGTCTCCCTCTGTCACCCTACATACCCCGAGAGTCTCACTCCGTCACCCCGCATACCCCGAGAGTCTCACTCCGTCACCCCGCATACCCCGAGAGTCTCACTCCGTCACCACACATACCCCGAGAGTTTCACTCTGTTACCCCGCATACCCCCAGAGTCTCACTCCGTCACCCCGCATACCCCGAGAGTCTCCCTCCGTCACCACACATACCCCGAGAGTCTCACTCTGTCACCCTACATACCCCGAGAGTCTCCCTCCGTCACCCCGCATACCCCGAGAGTCTCCCTCCGTCACCCCGCATACCCCGAGAGTCTCCCTCCGTCACCCCGCATACCCCGAGAGTCTCCCTCCGTCACCCCGCATACCCCGAGAGTCTCCCTCCGTCACCCCGCATACCCCGAGAGTCTCCCTCCGTCACCCCGCATACCCCGAGAGTCTCCCTCCGTCACCCCGCATACCCCGAGAGTCTCCCTCCGTCACCCCGCATACCCCGAGAGTCTCCCTCCGTCACCCCGCATACCCCGAGAGTCTCCCTCCGTCACCCCGCATACCCCGAGAGTCTCCCTCCGTCACCCCGCATACCCCGAGAGTCTCCCTCCGTCACCCCGCATACCCCGAGAGTCTCCCTCCGTCACCCCGCATACCCCGAGAGTCTCCCTCCGTCACCCCGCATACCCCGAGAGTCTCCCTCCGTCACCCCGCATACCCCGAGAGTCTCCCTCCGTCACCCCGCATACCCCGAGAGTCTCCCTCCGTCACCCCGCATACCCCGAGAGTCTCCCTCCGTCACCCCGCATACCCCGAGAGTCTCCCTCCGTCACCCCGCATACCCCGAGAGTCTCCCTCCGTCACCCCGCATACCCCGAGAGTCTCCCTCCGTCACCCCGCATACCCCGAGAGTCTCCCTCCGTCACCCCGCATACCCCGAGAGTCTCCCTCCGTCACCCCGCATACCCCGAGAGTCTCCCTCCGTCACCCCGCATACCCCGAGAGTCTCCCTCCGTCACCCCGCATACCCCGAGAGTCTCCCTCCGTCACCCCGCATACCCCGAGAGTCTCCCTCCGTCACCCCGCATACCCCGAGAGTCTCCCTCCGTCACCCCGCATACCCCGAGAGTCTCCCTCCGTCACCCCGCATACCCCGAGAGTCTCCCTCCGTCACCCCGCATACCCCGAGAGTCTCCCTCCGTCACCCCGCATACCCCGAGAGTCTCCCTCCGTCACCCCGCATACCCCGAGAGTCTCCCTCCGTCACCCCGCATACCCCGAGAGTCTCACTCCGTCACCCCGCATACCCCGAGAGTCTCACTCCGTCAATCCCGCATACCCCGAGAGTCTCACTCCGTCACCCCGCATACC